GATAGTGGGTGTCGGCTTGCAGCTGCCAACGCTTCTCGAGGTGAAATATATATTTCTTTCCTCGGTGAAAAATCGGCAATAATGATCTTTCTTGCACAATATAACCTTTATATTTCGTCATTGTGAAACTTTTGAAATACATTTAACCATTGTTTCAGGTCAATTATATACGCCATTTGCACTTCGACGGAAAAATAACTGCAGGTGTTGGACAAAATAAAGGAAACACCTGACATTTTGATATCGTAATTTTTGAACATGTTATGAACATGTTATTGTTTATTGCTGCATGCTAATCAATACCTTATCCCTGCAAAGATATTTCTAGTAAATAAATAGTAAATCTCTCTGACTTTCAAAGAGGCCAAATTGAAGGTGCCCGTATGGCAGGTGCTAGTGTGACAGAAACTTCTCAAATGCAAGTCGAAGTTTTCTGATAGAGATCGTCGTTACCTAAATCGAATTGTGAGGGACAATCGGAAGGCCACGACTGTTAAAATTACTGCAGAGCTCAATGGACACCTACAGAACCCAGTTTCCATAAAGACTGTCTGCCGACAGCTGCCCAGATCTGGATTCTATGCTAGATCTGCAGTTAAAAAAGCTATGGTTTCAAATACAAATACTTCAATGCGTTCAGAGTGATGTAAAAACCTCCAGAATTGGTTACTCGAGCTGTGGAAAATGTAATTTTCTCTGACAAATCATTGTTTACCTTATTTTTCAACCTCTGGCCGAGTTCACGTTTGGAGACAGCCGAAAGAGTCATCCCGACTGCCTCCTCCCAACCGCAAAACATGGTGGGGAATCTGTCATGATCTGGGGTATTATTTCTCGAAAATCCGGTGGACCAATGATTTCTATTTCATGGAAGAATCAACAACCGTGACTATTTAGGAATTTTGGAGGACTAATTCAACCAATGGTTCAAGCACTGTTTCCGGAGGGGAACGCCTTCTTCAAAGATAATAATGCCCCGATCTATACAGCTGAAATTGTTAAAAAAATGGCACGTGAAACATTCTAATGAAGTTGAGCGTCTCATTTGGCCACCGTGCACAATCACCAAACCTGAATATTATCGAGCATTTATGGTCGAATTTAGAGATGCAAGTCAGAAGTCTATTCCCGCCGGCATCGTTTTCAAAGAGCTGGACGGAATTTTGACTGAAGAAAGGGTTAATAATAATAATAATAATAGCGGTTTCAGCGTTATTAGGCCGTAGGCCTGTCGCCGATTCTTAACATCACAGAACATTCACAGCATTTTGCGGTCTCGAACTCGCAACTCACTGCTACAATTCTGCTATGCTTAACCGCCCGGCCTCCTTGCCGATTCTGACCAGGAACTGGCGCACAGAGCTGGGATCGAACCCGCGCCTCTCTGCGCCAATCTTGGTACTCTGAACTTTAACCACTGGGCCACCCTGCCTTTTCCTTTCCACCCTGCCTTAAAATTCCTTTGGAAAAAATTCACAATTTGTATGAATCAATACCTTGTAGAATTGAAGATGTAATTGCCGCAAAAGGTGGACCTACACAATACTAAAATATATTTTGTGGATTTCTCAGGTATTCCCCATATTTTTTCTAACCCATGTACGTTATTACTTGAACAGGCTGGCGCGTTTTTCGGAAAATTCGGCTACAACACTAACACTGTAAAGTGCGATTTTGTCAGTGACCAACCTGAAAATTTCGGAATGCGTGACGTCTTCTTTCTGATGGAGGCTCCTGTTTCGTGTGTTCTAATACTCGTGGGCTACAGCGCCAGCATCGTGCGCATCAAGAGCAGGGCAAAGTTCATGCGACAGTTTGGGTGAGGAACTAAGTGCATGGTTGACATAGCACATCAAGTGACTTCCTATTTAGACGTANATCTAAATTAATTACCAATATCATTTAACGCAATTCTGCTGAACGTGCTAGCACCCTATTCATACGAGAATTCGTCAAAAAGAGCGCCGAAAACCTTCCAAAAATATTCGTGACCATTACTAACGAGGAATTAACCATGATAGATTACGTCATTTCATTTCTGCGTTTTTTTTTGGATTTCCAATTTCACGAGAAAATGTCAGCGATGATGAAATTCGAGAAGCGGCCGTGTGTTTGGTTGAACTGTGTTGCCGTGAAAAAGGATCATCCTGTCTCTTATACACATCTAGATGTGTATAAGAGACAGATCATATCCTCGCTATGGCGTGGTTAAATATGTTAGAGGCAGCTTAAGGTTAATACTAATATGATTTCTGAGCTTCTATCTCATATCGACGGGGTGCGTGTTGGAGGCCAGCAATACCAAATTACCCAATCACTTCGTATTCTTTTTCGTTGACAGACATAGAAGAAAAATTGTAACTCAGTACTCACTGCAGTGGCAGAGAGCGCATTTTCTCGTCCGTCCGTCCGTAAAGTCACGGACAGACAGACGGACGGACGGACATGACGAGCACAATAGCGCCTTTTTCCATAAATGAGAAAATGCGCTATAAAGCTTATGGAATTCTGAGCTTGATTGAAGCCTATGGCACGTATTCCTTGCATGGTAGTAAATCACCCTGCCCAATAGCAACAAATCGTCAAAACAATTACCGCGGCCAATCATAACGGTGCAGTATATTTATATTGCACATAGCCTAACCTATTCATGAGAGAAATCTCAGTACACCAAAGAGCCGTCAGTACACAGTCAGTCTTTCAGGATTTAAACCGAACATGGACGTACCTCTTCAATAATAGCGGTTTCAGCGTTTAGTAGGCCGTAGGCCTGTCGCCGATTCTTAACATCGCAGAACATTCACAGTATTTTGCGGTCTATAACTCGCAACTCACTGCTACAATTCTGCTGTGCTTAACCGCCCGGCCTCCTCGCCGATTCTGACCAGAAACTGGAGCACAGAGCTGGGAACGAACCCGCGCCTCTCTGCACCAATCCTGGTACTCTGAACTTTAACCACTGGGCCACCCTGGGCCGACTACCGACATGTGCACTATAGGTCAACCTATCCAGACCTGCATTTAAATCCAATCAGAGGCTGCAGAACGGCGAAGAGAAGGGCTGAATGTGATGATATTATGATATGTTTATATCCGTGTGCTACCGCTACTGAAAATGTAGCGGCCGCTACATGTAGCGCGCTACTGCTCACCTTTGGGGATTTTTATATATGTCTGCCATATCCTATACGCCGCGAACCTTCTTCTGGTCATACAAATAATTATTTTTCATAGGCTTTTCAAACGCACAATAAATGCACGCAATACGCCACATATAAGTAGGAATGGGAAATTGTTATGCTATTTGACTTGATATGATAGCTCGTGAGGAGTTCTATGATTTGTCAATTTATTAGTAGAAAAAAGTACGCGGCGATGCTAAACGCTCGTCATTTCACAGAATATGTGAGCATATGTACCTAACACTTTTTCATTATTTTTTATGATATCAAAATTTGTTTACCTATGGCTTTCGTACATACACTCAGCATACAAATTGTAATTAAATTTTCTACCTTAATTTTGCAATCAGGATGTCGACGTTGGTCGAGAGGCCTTCAACTATAAAAATGTGGTCACGTGTCCACTTTTTAATGCGATTTCAGGTGTAGCGAACTTTTTTAATGCGATTTCATTTATTCACAAAATAAATGAACCTTAAAAATAAAATATTTAAGATGTATGTATCGTAAATGTATCTTGAAGGCTCCCAATGTTCATATCCAGCATCTTATTTAATATCAAATTTAAAGCATTAATATCTGCGCCTGGATCGCACATTGGCCGGTCATTCAAACTATTTAATGGCACTTCAATCTTATTCAATCTCCACTTGAGATAAGACATCTCTCAGCTGATAAGACTTGATGATGAGGGCAATAAAATGCACAAGTTATCTCTGATGCAGTCTGGCGCTAACTCTGTTATAAGAGGTCTATCCGTCAACACGTTCAGCGATTGGGGAAACTTATATTTAAATTGGGTGATTAGTAGGCCATCAACGATGAACTATTTATTTGTCATTTGATGCAAAGAGTTAAATAAATCTCGCTGTAAGTATTTCAGATAACTGTCTCACCGTTATAAATGAAGCCGTCACTGTTAAGAAAAAACGGTGAAAAAACGGTCCCACCGGCGTCCTTTATAGTGGCCGGTCGCCCCGTGAAAATAAACTGTTTCGCCGTTTTTATCAGATGTTTTACGAATTTCTGGTGTTAAATTGGAATAAAAACGGTGGCACGGTGTTTCTTTTCAAGTGCCGACCGGCCACTGAAACGCCGGTAATACCGTTAACGGTCATTTTTCTAACAGTGGTCATGCAATTGGACCTGTAAAATTATGCATTACTTCAGTAATAAACTATTTTGATCATGGTTGTTGCATTTACGATTGCCCTCAAACATTTCTGTCTTTGAAGGTTCTTCCACATTTTTATAGAAGTTTACCAGACTCCCATACAGATCAACGTGGTCGAAACTGTGTTTCAAAAAGCTTGTGAGAGGAAATTATGATCCGCCTTGAGTTAATGGTCACTCAAGATAGCTTTGTTATGATATCAAATGAGAGGAGAATGCAGAAATAATTTCCCTCGGACTGAAAAAGCAATGCTGTAAATCTTTCAAGTACGACTCTCGTCACACGCTGTTTTTACGCAACTTTCCCCTTACCTTCTACAGCCCTCAGGTCTAGCGTCCCCAGCAGCAGGCGCGATGCCGTGGGTCACCTTCGTATGTCTAGCGCTAATGCAGGTGTCCACAAACGCATTCATGATCGCCTATCCTCCGTCAGAAGGTAATTCTCTCATCCTCGGAGATACTATCATCCTGAAGCACAATCTCCTCACTACAGTTAATAAATGGATTATAATCTTCCAGCGTAGCCAAAGAACAGCAAAGAGTTTAGCAATAACTACCCTGGTGCCTCTTCAACTTACCACTCAAAATAATGGTTCTGAAAATGCCGAACTACAGAGAATTGAATTCGAAAACTCGAGTGCAAATATGAAAACTGACGCGACGTCCCCACCCGATCCATGCGCTGGTGGTTGTGAGAAGAACCAGACGTTGGGCATGAACGTTGGGCATGATAAAGACGTTGGGCATGATCAAGACGTTGGGTATGATAAAGATTTTGATAGAATGAACCAGACGTTGGACATGAACTGCACTTCTCATAACAGCTCCAGCGAAGAAGACTTGAAGTGTTCCGGAGAAGGTTTACTGCGAGCCACTCTTCTGTTTGGAATGTGTTTGACTATGACAGTCATCCTTGTTGGCGGGATTGGCAATGGAATCACAATACTCATTCTTATTCATCAGATGATTCTAGGACAGAGGCAACAACAGATTCGAACGAAGGCTTCGTCGGTTCTTGTGCTAAACCTTGCCATTGCTGACTTGTGCTACAGCGTCTTGTGTCTGCCCTTCGTCTTCGCAATTTACCTCATCATATTCAGATCAGGTCTAGTAAGTTATTGCGCCCAGGTGTACTTTGCTGCTAAATTTTGTTCCTTGAATTGTTTTATGACTTAATTGATACTCACAAATGTACATGTTAAAATACCAGCGAAAAGAATTTGTTATCGCTTGAATATCATCATGGAGGTGCGTGCTAGCTTGAGCCTGGCGTTCGGATCAAAATTGTGCCATTTGTGATAATAAAAGATTACTGAGTGAAGTTTTCGCACGTCCTCAGGATCTCGAAGCTCCGCTCTCACATGGATTTGATACCAAGTGTCAGTTCTCGGCTTTCTTCCGCTACACGAACGCCATCTCCGAGTGGACTACGATCGGGCTTATGGCTCTTGAAAGGCGAGTTTCAAGTCAGGGTTTATTTATCAATCATGGCATTTCATGATTCTGCCTAATTGCATATGAAGTTCAGCACTATCCTCATTTAATTAATAAGTCAATCAGATAATCCTTCTTGAGTTTTAATTTTTGAAATAAGATTTTATATTAAACAAATATATTCATGAAGCTGGATGGGATATAACTTTGAACTTTGATAATCTGAATGCTCACATCTTTGGCAAGTAATCAGGGGTAGCCGTCAATATTGTGCACAAGCCATTTTCTGCAATAATATTGGGCGTCTAGGGTGAAACAATAACAGGTCTACGGTACCAGGTAAAACGATTGATGTCTTCAAAGACTGACTTCACACTCTCTATTAGTCAAAAACCTGTATCATGTTATAAATCTTAACTTTGATAATAATATGAAGGATTTTCGTATAGGCGAAAGTCTATTTTTTAAGTTAAGCACGTACTACTCTGAAATAAATAACTCTAAATTTGTAAGCTATAACTCAATTGGATCGAAAAAGAACTGTTTGGTCTGTTTCCAACTTATCGTGAACACGATAAAGATAAATAAATAAATAAAGTTAACTTCCCATTCGCTACTTCTATTGCAGTTCATCAAATCAGACATGAGTCGTTTTTTAGTCAAAATTTATCTTTTTGAATCAAAAGTAGAGATATGCTATAAATACAATTGTTCTAAATTATATTCCTTTGATTATTATCAGCACAATCGTTTACTGTCGTGACGGTGTTCCACCATCCAAAGTTTTGCTTGTCTCCGCAGGTTCATCACGATCAGTCGATATGCTCGGTGGCAGAAAGGCGGCTACCGCTGGTTCACTCCCAAAAAGTCTGCGTGTTACTGCCTCATGATTTGGATAGTGGGTGTCGGCTTGCAGCTGCCAACGCTTCTCGAGGTGAAATATATATTTCTTTCCTCGGTGAAAAATCGGCAATAATGATCTTTCTTGCACAATATAACCTTTATATTTCGTCATTGTGAAACTTTTGAAATACATTTAACCATTGTTTCAGGTCAATTATATACGCCATTTGCACTTCGACGGAAAAATAACTGCAGGTGTTGGACAAAATAAAGGAAACACCNGTTGCCGATTCTTGAACTTTTCGTGACTTGATTCACAAGGGATCCGGCCTATGGAACCCGATCTTTCTATAGCTGACGATTGATTGAGATAGCTGCTGGACTTATTATTAAACCTAGCATGGACGTACCTCCTCAATAATACCGACGCCGACACTATAGGTCAACCTCTCCAGACCTGCATTTAAGTTCAATCAGAGGCTGCAGAACGGCGAAGAGAAGGGCTGAATGTGATGATATTATGATATGTTTATATCCGTGCACGTTGAATTTAATCACCCCCATATAGACTGGACAGATAAATTGTCCCCTCGAGAAGCGAATCACCCTGCATCCCTTTCACGGCGTCCGTAAATTTCATTTTTACGGTTAAACTCGGAACCAAGCCATCCCACCATATAGGGGTGGGATGACCGACTCTAAATGTTTTGAACCTGATATTTACTACTGAACTATTAATGGCAGAAGAGCTTCGTCACGAGGAGACGATGGGCTAGAGACACCACTTGTCGATGTTATCACTATCAAATGTTATCCTAGAAGAATATTGTTATCCAAGAACAAAAGAAGATTAAATGAATATCATTTGAAGAAGCAAAATCAGAGAATTGACAAATATCTCCGTTGAATTGGCAAATGTTGACTTTGTGAATATGCCATATACATGTATGACTTTTGTTTAAATATATAAATAAAACTTGTTCGTAAGGTTGTTCTCAATGAGAAAGTGTCTTGCAAATTTGCAATGATTGCTCTAAATACTAATAATATCATAAAGGGTTGTTAAAGTAATCTAAGTTCTAATCAATATTGCAGAACATTATAAAAATAAAGATAAATAATTATTAACGTACTAAATTACTGAAGACCCTAGGGCGATTGCTGGTTTCGGAAAGTATTCGGCCTTCGCTCAGTAATAAAGCTCTGGCCTACATAGAGAGTCTAGAACTCTAGATCGTTTGTACACAAAATATTAAGAAGTATATGGAAAAATCTCACAGGTAAAAATTTATAATTTGGTGAACGTTTGTAAACTTCAGACTAAGACTGTTTATAGTAAGAAATAATCCTGGAATATTACTTTTAAGTAAATCTCATTGACCGACGAGACGAATATTCTTATGCTGAAGCTTTGGTAAATTCGTCTTTGACTGATTGGATTTCCACGATGAAATTTGCTACTACGTCCTCAACTAAAACACATTCCTTCTCGCCGTTATCGTGACGGTCAGAAATCTATGTAAATATAAATGAGCAAAAATTCCTATGATTTTCAATCGTTTTAATTGATGTTCATATCCGTTATTCAAGGTTTACTTGATATTTTTTCATGCTTACTAAGCACGTTCATACAAACTAGCGGGAATAATCTATTTAATCGTTTCAAGTGCGGGCAGCGAGCTACAACCTCGGTTGCGATGAATTGAGGATTTTTATTGATAAAGGATTTCCATGTCTGCCATATCCTATACGCCGCGACCCATCTTCTGGCCATACAAATAAATATTTTTCATAGGCTTTTCAAGCGTACAATAAATGTACGCAATACGCCACAAATAAGTAGGAATGGGAAATTGTTATGCTATTTGACTTGATATGATAAGTGATAACTCGTGAGGAGTTCTATGATTTGTCAATTTATTAGTAGAAAAAAGTACGCGGCGATGCTAAACGCTCGTCGTTTCACAGAATATGTGAGCAAATGTACCTAACACTTTTTCATTATTATTTATGATATCAAAATTTGTTTACCTATGGCTTTCGTACATACACTCAGCATACAAATTGTAATTATATTTTCTGCCTTAATTTTGCAATCAGGATGTCGACGTTGGTCGAGAGGCCTTCAACTATAAAAATGTGGTCACGTGTCCACTTTTTAATGAGATTTCAGGAGTAGCGGATCTAAATCCTGAATGAAAATTCAGGACTAGAAACGATCGCACCGAAACAACACAATCGATAATTGATCTCACAAAATAAATTAACCTTAAATATAAAATATTTAAGATGTATGTATCGTAAATGTATCTTGAAGGCTCCCAATGTTCATAACCAGCATCTTATTTAATATCAGATTTAAAGCATTAATTTCTGCTCATAAAACGCACATTTACCGGTTATTCAAATTATTTAACAGCTTTTCAATCTTATTCAATCTCCACTTGAGATAAGACATCTCTCAGCTGATAAGACTTGATGATGAGGGCAATAAAATGCTCAGGTTATCTCTGATGCAGTCTGGCGCTAACTCTGTTATAAGAGGTCTATCCGTTAACACGTTCAGCGATTGGGGAACTTATATTTAAATTGGGTGATTAGTAGGCCATCAACGATGAACTATTTATTTGTCATTTGATGCAAAGAGTTAAATAAGTCTCGCTGTAAGTATTTCAGATAACTGTCTCACAGTTATAAATGAAGCCGTCAATTGGAGCTGTAAAATTATGCATTACTTTAGTAATTAAACTATTTTGATCATGGTTGTTGCATTTACGATTGCCCTCAAACATTTCTGTCTTTGAAGGTTCTTCCACATTTTTATAGAAGTTTACCAGACTCCCATACAGATCAACGTGGTCGAAACTGTGTTTCAAACAGCTTGTGAGAGGAAATTATGATCCGCCTTGAGTTAATGGTCACTCAAGAAAGCGTTGTTAAGATGAATAATGTTACTGGAAATATGTAAATTTTGACGCGAAAGTAAGTAATTCCCATTATGATGCTGAAAATATTGTATTGGAATCATCCTTTGCATGAGAAGGATCCATGCTAAAGTATAGACGTGGATATGTCCACTTGGCTTAACTCGATAGTGATCAAATTACGGGTATCCAGTTGTCTGAAATTATAAATAAAGTTTGGTATCTGTTTTATTATTGTTTCATGTGAAAATACACATGCAACTGATCTTTCCGTCATCGGCGCAGCTCCAAAAACTGAACAGAATTAGGGATTTTGCGGAATACAGCGAAATTTGAATTGTAAATCCTGATTAAGGATAGGCATGAAGCTCATATTGAATGATTCGAGACAGATTTTAATTTCTCTCATCTTTTTTATATGCCCAATTTTGTTTCGATATATTTTTGACTAAAATTATTTCACAGCAGGTTATCTTCACGATAATTTTTGGTTCTATGAAATTATAAGGGTGCATGTATAGAGCTCGGATCATTGCTTAGCACAACGCTTATTAGTGAAAGCTAAAGATAGTTAATTTAGAAGGGTGCTAAAGCTACTCTGCGTGTAAAATATCATAATTAATAAATGCACCGCCGTCAACACAAACACAGTATATGAAAAGGGGATTGATTTATTAACCTGATTGATTGTTTGGGCCGACTGAATCTTTAAATAATTTAATGCTAAAAAGATATCAAGTGAGAGGAGATATCAAGTGTGATATCAAGATATCTCAGAGGGATATCTCTCACCGCTCAAGATATCAAGTGAGAGGAGAATGCAAAAATAATTTCCCTCGGACTGAAAAAGCAATGCTGTAAATCTTTCAAGTACGACTCTCGTCACACGCTGTTTTTACGCATAAGTTTTCGCACGTCCTCAGGATCTCGAAGCTCCGCTCTCACATGGATTTGATACCAAGTGTCAGTTCTCGGCTTTCTTCCGCTACACGAACGCCATCTCCGAGTGGACTACGATCGGGCTTATGGCTCTTGAAAGGCGAGTTTCAAGTCAGGGTATACTTATCGATCATGGCATTTCAGGATACTGCGTTCTTGAATATGGAGTTCAGCACCACATAATTTAATTAACAAGTCAATCGGATAATTCTTATTGAATTTTAATTTTTGAAATAATATTTTATATTGAACGAATAAATTCATGAAGCTGGATGGGATATAACTTTGATAATCTGAATGCTCACATCTTTGGCAAGTAATCAGGGATAGCCGTCAATATTGTGCACTAGCTATTTTCCGCAATAATATTGGGTGCCTAGATGAAACGGTAACTGGTCTACGGTACCAGGTTAAACGATTGATGTCTCCAATGACTGTATTCACGCCCTCTATTAGTTCAAAAGCTGTATTATGTTATAAATCTTAACTTTGACAATAATATTAAGGGTTTTTGTATAGGCGAAAGTCTATTTTTAAGTTGAAGCACGTCCTACTCTGAATTAAATAACTCTAAATTTGTAAGCTGTACGGGTTCAGAGATAATTGTAACTCACATGGATCGAAAAAACTGTTTGGTCTTCAATTTTTTCCAACTTATCGTGAACGTTGTTTGCTTCTCATTTGCTACTTCTATTGCAGTTCATTAAATCAGACAAGAGTCGTTTTATAGTCAAAATTTATCTTATTGATTCATGATTCAGAAGTAGAAATACTATCCATTTGAGTGTTCTAAACAATATCCTTTCGATAATTTTCAGCGGAATCGTTTACTGTCGTGACGGTGTCCCATCATCCAAAGATTTGCTTGTCTCCGCAGGTTCATCACGATCAGTCGATATGCTCGGTGGCAGAAAGGCGGCTATCGCTGGTTCACTCCCAAAAAGTCTGCGTGTTACTGCCTCCTGATATGGATAGTGGGTGTCGGCTTGCAGCTGCCAACGCTTCTCGAGGTGAAATACGCTTCACCCTCCGATTTTTTTTTCTTTCCTCGGTGAAAAATCGGTAATAATGATCTTACTTGCACAATATAACCTTTATCTTTTGTCATTGTGAGACTTTTGAAATACATTTAACCAATGTTTCAGGTCAATTATATACGCCATTTGCACTGCGACGGAAAATAACTGCAGGTGTTGGACAAAATAAGGGAAACACCTGACATTTTGATATCGTAATTTTCGAACATGTTATCAACAGTAAAATCGTGACATATTTTTACGTTTTATTGTTTATTGCTGCATGCTAATCAATACTTTATCCCTGCAAAGATATTTCTAGTAAATTTCCATGTCTATTACATAACCTACAACCTATAAATGGCAAATCTCTCTGCCTTTCAAAGAGGCCAAATTGTTGGTACCCATATGGCAGGTGCTAGTGTGACAGAAACTTCCCGAATGCTTGACGTTTCTAGAGGTGCTTTCTCAAAAGTAATGACTACTTTTGTAAGAGAAGGAAAAACGTCCTCAGCAAAGCACAGGTCTGGCTGAAAGTCAAAGTTTTCTGAGAGAGACCGTCATTACCTATATCGAATTGTGAGGGACAATCGAAAAACCACGGCTCTTAAAATTACTGCACCTCAATGGGCACCTACTGAACCCAGTTTCCATAAAGACTGTCCGTCGACAGCTGCCCAGATCTGGATTCTATGCGAGACCTGCAATTAGAAAAGCTATGGTTTCAAATACAATTGCTTCAATGCGTTCAGAGTGATGTAAAAACCTCCAGAATTTGTTATTCAAGCTGTGGAAAATGTAAGCTTCTCTGACAAATCATTGTTTACCTTAATTTTCAACCTCTGGCCGAGTTTACGTTTAATTCGAGACAGCCTCACGTGAAAGATTCTAATGAAGTTGAGCGTCTCATTTGGCCACCACAATCACCAAACCTGAATATTATCGAGCATTTATGGTCGAATTTAGAGATGCAAGTCAGAAGCCTATTCCCGCCGGCATCGTTTTTAAAGAGCTGGACGGAATTTTGTCTGAAGAAAGGGTTAAAATTCCTTTGGAAAAAATTCACAATTTGTATGAATCAATACCTTGTAGAATTGAGGATGTAATTGCCGCAAAAGGTGGACCGACACCATACTAAAATATATTTTTGATTTCTCGGGTATTTCCCATATTATGACTTACCCCTGTACGTTATTACTTGAACAGGCTGGCCCGTTTTTCGGAAAATTCGGCTACAACACTGACACTGTAAAGTGCGACTTTGTCAGTGACCAACCTGAAAATTTCGGAATGCGTGACGTCTTCTTTCTGATGGAGGCTCCTGTTTCGTGTGTTCTAATACTCGTGGGCTACAGCGCCAGCATCGTGCGCATCAAGAGCAGGGCAAAGTTCATGCGACAGTTTGGGTGAGAAACTAAGTGCATGGTTGACATAGCAAATCAAGTGACTTTCTATTTAGGCGTAAACAGCAATTTTTATTTGAAATTTATTGAATATTATACTGATGCTGCTAAATTTTTCAACAATATTTATCGTTGAACAGAAACGCGCAACATATGTACACCGAATGCCTGGGTTCCCGCAAGGTTACCGCAGTAGCGGAACGGCTGATAACTCTTTTGACTTTTTAAACTTCTTGAGCAGTTTATTAAACACATTTTGGCTCATTAATTTTTTTAAGTTTTTTGTAAATTTTAAAAATATTTTTTGGAACACTTGCAAACACTCATTGGGTTAAAAAGAGGACCGTGTAACGGTCACATTGCGATCCTTAGTATCCTTGGTATTCTTAGTATCTCTAGGATTTGTTTCGGACGTAGAAGTCCCAGCTAGACCACGATGGATCGCCTCCAGCAGCTTCTGTCACCACTTGATCACGACAATTTATTGTTATGCATATTGCGTAGGCTTCGTGAACATGAGCTTATTTTTCTGCAACATGTTATTTATATAAACACCCGACATTCTCACGGTCTGTACTTGATTTAGTACCAAATCAGAACCTGCCAGGTATCAACTTATATGTCAATGTTATCATAAATTATTAACTACGAGATAAATGACCTAGCAGGGGGAAAATTTTATTCGTTAGCTCCAGCAAAATGCAAGGCGATAATTTTTGAACATTCAGGAAATGGTGCTCTATTTTGTACAATTTTTCTCTTGTTTTACTGAAATCAAGTTGAGATTGATTGTCAAATTCTAACAAAATTGAGGCAATAATCGTTCACGCAATCATAATTTTTACAGCAATCATCTTTTTTTATTGAGGCAATAATCGTTCACGCAATCATAATTTTTACAGCAATCATCTTTTTTTTTAAGTTCTCGTTGAGCATCTTTGCTCGATTCACTAAATCATAATTTTAACAGCAATCATCTTTTTTTTAAGTTCTCGTTGAGCATCTTTGCTCGATTCACTACGTACAAGACTTAAAACAATGTATTTTTATTTCAGTGTAGTATTTCTAAACTAAGCTCGTTTGGATAGCAAGATTTGATCTGACCCACGAATTTTTCACTTCAGGACTAGTGAGTTCAACAAGAAGATCGCCAAGCGAAACAGAAAAACAATGAATTTCTACTACAGCCGGATAGCCGTTTACTTCTTGTGCGTTGTCCCTGTCTGCGTGTGGAATACGGTGGTTCCAGAAAATGAGTTTGGTAAACCGTGCAATCAAATCATGGGAATCTACATTTACTGTCTGTACTGGATCCAGTATGCTGCAAACATCTTTATTTACGCCCGATCGATGCCTCCATACAATAAAGCCTTCAAACAAATGTTACACGCTCTCATACCTTGCTATTATCGGCCAGACGAGCAAAACCTTATCATGAAAACGGAGCTGAAGAAAGGGCACATGGTGAATGTTATTTCCATGCAAATATATAATAAATCATTGTAAATAGAAATCATTGTAAATTGATGTCTTCGCCAACGTAGGGCAGTGACGCCGTGACTTAGGATTTCCTGTCAGAATTCTCAGGCATGATGGCCTAACGTTTGAAATACAAATTATACTTCTTCCAAGCTAGCACTTGCTCTGTCCTAATATTTTTACTTTGGTGAGTTTGAAATTAGTACACTATGCTCTCTATGAGAATCCTTGCTGAAAATCAATGTTATAGATTTAATACTGATATAATTCTGTATGTACAGTATATTACCTTGGCGAGTAAATGTTCAATCAAAAGCTTTTTTCAGTAGTTTTTGCTATATAGGCATTTGCCATTGATTAATAAAATCCTGAGGCACCACTCTATTCGATCATAATGGCGTGGTTAAATATGTTAGAGGCAGCTAAAGGTTCATACTAATATGATTTCTGAGCTTCTATCTCATATCGACGGGGTGCGCGTTGGAGGCCAGCAATACCAAATTCCCCCATCACTTCGTATTCCTTTTCGCTGACAGACATAGAAGAAAAATGTAACTCAGTACTCACTGCAGTGACAGAGAGCGCATTTTCTCGTCCGTCCGTCCGTAAAATCACGGACAGACAGACGGACGGACGGACATGACGAGCACAATAGCGCCTTTTTTCCATAAATGAGAAAATGCGCTACAAAGCTTATAGAATTCTGAGCTCGATTGAAGCCTTTGGCACATATTTCCTGCATGGTAGTAAATCACCCAGCCCAATAGCAACAAGTCGTCAAAACAATTACCGAGGCCAATCATAACGGTGCAGCATATTTATATTGCACATAACCGAACCTATTCACGAGAGAAATCTCAGTACACCAAAGAGCCGTCAGTACACAATCAGTCTTTCAGGATTTATAGAATAGAATAGAAGTGTCGGCGTTGAAGAAATAGGCCCATGGCCTGTTGCCGATTCTTGAACTTTTCGTGACTTGATTCACAAGGGATCCGGCCTATGGAACCCGATCTTTCTATAGCTGACGATTGATTGAGATAGCTGCTGGACTTATTATTAAACCTAGCATGGACGTACCTCCTCAATAATACCGACGCCGACACTATAGGTCAACCTCTCCAGACCTGCATTTAAGTTCAATCAGAGGCTGCAGAACGGCGAAGAGAAGGGCTGAATGTGATGATATTATGATATGTTTATATCCGTGCACGTTGAATTTAATCACCCCCATATAGACTGGACAGATAAATTGTCCCCTCGAGAAGCGAATCACCCTGCATCCCTTTCACGGCGTCCGTAAATTTCATTTTTACGGTTAAACTCGGAACCAAGCCATCCCACCATATAGGGGTGTGATGACTGACTCTAAATGTTTTGAACCTGATATTTACTACTGAACTATTAATGGCAGAAGAGCTTCGTCACGAGGAGACGATGGGCTAGAGACACCACTTGTCGATGTTATCACTATCAAATGTTATCCTAGAAGAATATTGTTATCCAAGAACAAAAGAAGATTAAATGAATATCATTTGAAGAAGCAAAATCAGGGAATTGACAAATATCTCCGTTGAATTGGCAAATGTTGACTTTTGCGAATATGCTAAATTTGACTTTTGTTGAAATATATATAAATATAGCTTGTTCGTAAGGTTATTCTCAATGAGAAAGTGTCTTGCAAATTTGCAATGATTTCTCTCTAAATAATAACAATAATATCATATAGAGTTGTTAAAGTAATCTAAGTTTTAAACAATATTGCAGAACATTATAAAAAATAAACTTAAATAATTAATAACGTACTAAATTACTGAAGAACCTAGGGCGATTGCTGGCTTCGGAAGGTATTTGGCCTTCGCTCAGATATATAGATCTGGCCTACATTGAGGGTCTAGAACGTTTGTACACAAAAGAAATATATGGAAAAATCTCACAGGAAAAATTTCATAATTTGGTGAACTTTCGTAAGTTTCAGACTAAGACTGTTTAATAAGAAATAATCCTGGAATATTCCTTTAAAAGTACATCTCAATGGCCGACGAAGTTTCTTATTCTGGTGCTTTGGTAAATTCGTCTTTGATTGGATTTCCACGATGAAATTTGCCATGTCCTCAACAAAAACACATTCCTTCTCGCCGTTATCGATCGTTACGGTCAAAAATATATGGTAATGTAAATGGGTAAATTTTCCAATGACTTTCAATCGTTTTAATTGATGTATTTAATATCCCTTTCCTAACGTTTACTTGATATTTTTTCATGTTTGCTAAGCACGTCCATACAAAGCTAGCGGGAATAATCTATTTAATCGCTTCAGTGCGGGCAGCGAGCTATAATTAACCTCGGTTGCGATGAATTGAGGATTTTTTTATAGGATTTCCATATGTCTGCCAAACTCCATATACGCCACGAACCTCCTTCTGGTCATACAAATAAATATTTTTCATAGGCTTTTCAAGCGTACAATAAATGCACAAATAAGTAGGAATGAGAAATGGTTATGCTTATGACTTGATATGATAGCTCGTGAGGAGTTAAGTGATTAGTCAATTTAAAAGTAGGAAAAGAACACGGCGATGCTAAACGCTCGTCATTTCACAGCATATGTGACCATGAGACTCTTTTTTATTATTATTTATGATATCAACATTTTTTTACCTATGGCGTTCGTACAGAAAACTCAGTACACAAATTCTAAATTAAATTCTCTGCCTTATTATTCCAATCGGGATGTCGGGGTAGGTCGAGAGGCCTTCTAACTATAAAATGTGATCACAGGTCCATTTTTAGCGCATTTTCTCATTTATGGAAAAAGGCCCTATTGTGCTCGTCATGTCTGTCTGTCCGTCCGTACGTCTGGTTCACGTTTTCGTCGACGAGAAAATAAGTTCTCTAGATGTCACTCACTGCAGTGAGTACTGCGTTATATTTTTTAATTAGATTTCAGGTGAAGCGGATTTGAATCCTAAATGAAAATTCAGGATTAGAAACGATTACACCAAAACAACACAATCGATAATTGATCTCACAAATAAATGAACCTCAGAAATAAAATATTTAAGATGTATGTATCGTAAAGGTATCTTGAAGGCTCCCAATGTTCATATCCAGCCTCTTATTTAATATCAGATTTAAAGCATTAATTTCTGCGCATGGAGCGCACATTGGCCGGTTATTCAAATTATTTAACGGCACTTCAATCTTATTCAATCTCCACTTGAGATAAGACATCTCTCAGCTGATAAGACTTGATGATGAGGGCAATCAAATGCTCAGGTTATCTCGGATGCAGTCTGGCGCTAACTCTGTTATAAGAGGTCTATCCGTTAACACGTTCAGCGATTTGGGAAACTTATATTTAAATTGGGTGATTAGTAGGCCATCAACGATGAACTATTTATTTACCATTTGATGCTAAGAGTTAAATAAATCTCGCTGTAAGTATTTCTGATAACTGTCTCACCGTTATAAATGAAGCCGTCAATTAGACCTGTAAAATTATACAACGTCTGACATTAACTATTACGATTGTCCTGAAACATTTCTATGTTCGGAGGTTCTTTCACATTTAATATAAGTTTACCAGACGCTCATACAGATCAACTTGGTCAAAAATTTGTTTCAAATAGCTTTTGAGAGGAAATTATCCGCCTTGAGTTGAAATGGTCACTCAAAAACGCTCTGTTAAGTTGAATAATGTTACTGAAAATGCATAAATTTCAACGTGAAAGTAAGTAATTTCAATCACGATGCTGAAAATATTGTAATGGATTCATCCTTTGCCTAAAGTATAGATGAGAATATGTCCACTTGGCTGAACTTGATAGTGATAAAATTTAGGGTATCCTGCATGTTGTTTAAAATGATAAAGTTTGGTATCTGTTTTATTGTTTGATGCGAAAATGCTTGTGCAAGAAACCTTTCCGAGATCGTCGCAGTTCCAAAAAATTACCAAAATTAGGGATTTTGTGGATTAGAAGGCTGCATATATTGAGTTCGGATCATTGCATAGCACAACACTTATTAGTGAAAGCTAATAAGTGTTGTGCTAAGGGTGCTAAAGCTACTATGTGTGTGAAATATAGTAATTTAAACGCACTGCCGTCACACTCCCATAGGATGTAAAGGGAAGTTTTTTTATTAAAGTGATTGATTGTTTGGGCAGACTGCATTTCGAAATATTTTTATTTATTCTTTTCTATTTATCAGGAAAGACGAATCATTTTTCAATTTCTAAATTTTCATTGTTTTGCAATTCCCTTTAGCGGTATTAATAAATTCAAGATATCAGGTAAGAGGAGATGCAGAAATAATTTCCCTCGGACTGAAAAAGCAATGCTGTAAAATTTCCAAGTACGACTCTCGTCAAACGCGGTTTTTACGCAGAAATTCCCCTTACCTTCTACCGCCCTCAGCTCGTAGCATCTCCAACAGCAGGCGTGATGCAGTGGGTCACCTTCGTATTTCTATAGCGCTAATGCAGGTGTCCACAAACGCATTCATGATCGCCTATCCTCCGTCAGAAGGTAATTCTCTCATCCCCGGAGATACTATCATCCTGAAGCAAAATCTCCTCACTACACTTAATAAATATATTATAATCTTCCAGCATAGCCAAAGAACAACAAAGAGTTTAGCAATAACTACCCTGGGGCCTCTTCAATTTACAACTCGAAATAATGGTTCTGAAAGAACTGAACTACAGAGAATTGAATTCAAAAACTCAAGTGCAAATATGAACACTGACGCGATGTCCCAACCCGATCCATGCGCTGGTGGTTGTGAGAAGAACCAGACGTTGGGCATGAATTGACTATGACAGTCATCCTTGTTGGCGGGATTGGCAATGGAATCACAATTCTCATACTTATTCATCAAATGATTCTAGGACAGAGACAGCAACAGATTCGAACGACAGCATCGTCGGTTCTTGTGCTAAACCTTGCCATTGCTGACTTGTGCTACAGCGTCTTGTGTCTGCCCTTCGTCTTCTCAATTTACCTCATCATATTCAGATCAGGTCTAGTAAGTTGTTGTGCCAATATGAAATTTTTTTACGGCATTTCGTTCCATGTATTATAACTTAATTGCATCTCGCGAATTTAACGTACGAAAAGAATTTGTTATAATCAGCATGTTCACATCTTGAACATCCGCAGGTGCATACGTGATGCCATCATTCGCAGCAAAATTGCGCCATTGGTAATAACAAACGACTGAATAAAGTTTTCGCACGTCCTCAGGATCTTGAAGCCCCGCTCTCACACGGATCTGAGACCAATATTTGTCAATTCTCGGCTTTCTTCCGCTACACGAGCGCCATCTCCGAGTGGACTACGATCGGACTTATGGCTCTCGAAAGGCGAGTTTCAAGTCAGGGACTCAGGGTATTGTTATCGATCATAACATTTCATTATACTGCTGACTTGAATATGAATTTCAGCACCACATTATTTAATTATTAAGTCAATCAGCTAATCCTTATTGAATTTAAATTTTTTAAATCGTATTTTATATTAAACGAATCAATTCATAAAGCTGGATGCAATATAAATTTTATAATCTGAATGCTGACATCTTTGGCAAGTAATCAGTGATAGCCGTCAATATTGTGCACTAGCCATTTTTCGCAATAATATTACGCGCCTAGGGTGCAACGGTAAAGTCCCATATGTCTACGGGACCAAGTAAAACGATTTATGGTGTCCAAAAATTTCCTCCGCGCCATTTATTCGTCAAAAGACTGTTTTATGTTATAAATCTGAACTTTGAATTAAGGGATTTCGTACAGGCTATAGCCGATTTTCAAGTTGAAGCACGTACTACTCTGAAATAAATAACTCTTAATTTGGGTCGCCTGCCGAAAACCACCACTGCCCTGGATGTAATGGACCATCATGATTCCTGCATTCCGTAACGTAGCCTTCAACACTTCTGGACAATCATATATCTAGGCCGTGCGTCGAACCAGCCCTCGGTCGAACGGCCACTCATCGAAGGACGATAAATTTTGGAACAGAGATAGACTAACTGGAACCTAACCTTAGATGCCGTGAATGTAAAATTACGTAATTTGACGATGCCCGGAAGTCATATTCGTTCCGCGGCCTGGTGGTGCACGGCAGGTTCTATGCAAGGCCGGAGGAGGACAAAGCCGAGTGGTTCACGGCTGATTGGTGGATGTTCGGAGAGGTCCAAGGCGTTCGATTGGTGCACAAAATTGGTGGTGCACGGCTGCGCTCCCCTTAATTTGTCAGCTGTATGTGTTCAGAGATTATTGTAACTCACGTAGAAAAACTATTTAGACTTCAACTTTTTCCAACTTATTATGAATGTTGTTCACTTCCCATTTACCACTTCTATTACAGTTCATAAAGTCTGAGAAGAGTCGTTTTATAGTTGAAATGTATCCTTTTGAATCAAAAGCAGAGATATACTAAATAATACGAGTGTTCTAAATAATATTCATATGATTATTTTCAGCACGATCGTTCATTGTCGTGACGGTGTTCCACAATCCAAAGTTTTGTTTTCTCCCTAGGTTCATCACGATCAGTCGTAAGGCCCCTTTCACACAGGGCAGTAGATACTGCCGCGTCAAAAATGCCGCGGCAGTATTTACTGCGCAATCTTTCACACGAGGCGCTTTTTACTGCTGGGATCTATCAGTCTTGCAGTGCTTTATGCTTCATCAGTCCATCTCTATGTTTATGTAACAATATTTCTTTATGAAAATTATTCGATCCGCGGCCTGGTGGTGCACGGCAGGTTCTATGCAAGGCCGGCGGAGGACAAAGCAGAGTGTTTCACGGTTGATTGGTGGATGTTCGGAGAGATCCAAGGCGTTCGATTCAGGGCTTATTGGTGCACATAATTGGTGGTGCATAGCTGCGCTCCCCTTAATTTGTAAGCTGTATGTGTTCAGAGATTATTGTAACTCATGTAGAAAAACTATTTAAACTTCAACTTTTTCCATCTTATTATGATTGTTGTGAACTTACCATTTACCACTTCTATTGCAGTTCATAAAGTCTGAGAAGAGTCGTTTTATAGCTAAAATTTATCTTTTTGAATAAAAAGATATACTAAATAATACTACGAGTGTTCTAAATAAAATTCATGTGATAATTTTCAGCACGATCGTTCATTTTCGTGACGGTGTTCTATAATCTAAAGATTTGTTTTCTCCCTAGGTTCATTACGATCAGTCGATATGCTCGGTGGCAGAAAGGCGGGTACCGCTGGTTCACTCCCAAAAAGTCTGCGTGTTACTGCCTACTGATATGGATTTTGAGCATTTGCATGCAGATGCCCACGCTCCTTGAGGTGAAATTAGTATAGCCCACTTCGATATAGCTTCTGCATTGAATTAACTACTATGAGCAGTTTCAACAGCACCAATTAAGTAAATTTCCAATAGCGGGTGAACTCGTTTACTAAATACTGTAGTTTCTCTTTCAGCTTCCTCATTGACGATCATGGATGAGCAATCGCTACAATAGTCTACAATATGAATATTTGATGAAAGAATTATAAACTTCAGACCAGAGTTTCACCTGGTACTCATTAATTAGATATAATTATTCTACAGAGATGAAGTAGAAGTAATTCTTTCTAACTCCGACGTCTTCCATACTTAATGAGAGTTGGATGAGCACGCTGCGTGCACCTAACCTTACGGATAGGCGTCCCCTTAACTGCAGTGCCAGGTTTTCCAGCAATGTTGTTGCAGAAATACCTTGTGACGCCGTTGGTTTCTTTCAATTTGAGTTGTAAAGTACGTAACACACGTTCAAACCTCTCTAAAATTACAATANTGTAATTCGATTTACTTTGGAGTAACATAACTAAACCATTTGACAGGTTGGTGCGTTTTTTGGCAAGTTTGGCTACAACGTAGACACAATTAAGTGCGACTTCGTCAGCTCCGAAGGTCAAAGTTTCGGGATGCGTGATTTCTTCTTTCTGATGGAGGCGCCCATTCCGTGCGCTCTAATCCTAGTGGGCTACATCGCCATCATTGTGCGCATCAAAAGCAGTACTCGGTTCATGAAAAAATTTGGGTGAGATTCTTTTCTTGAAACTCAGTTACAAGGTTTCGTTCCTGAATTACCTTTGGTTGATGAGCCTTAAGTTTACTGAACGCCATCTCATGACATCATTCTTTTATTCCTTTACAGAAAGGATTGACATTTCCTGAATTCCATTTTTAACAGACATAATAATGGAATGGAATTCAGGTAGAATTCAGACTAAAAAAGTGAACGGATCATCACTTCTATGCCAATGCGATAAAAATTAATAGGAAAATCAACCCACAATTTGGGTATGCACTTACCAGCTTCTCTGCAATAATAGCCGTCAGCGGCAGGTTTTTTTGCAAGCGTTTCTTTATATGCAGTTTAGTTATATCTTGGTTTTCGTGATATAAAATTTATCGCGACGTGTACTTGGCGACGTTTATATTATCAGCACCAGCGGACGACTTCAGAGTACATTATTTATTCCCACCTTCCCTGGTAGGGGGCGCATGCCGGAGGCCAGCTTTGCCAAACTTTGTAGCAGCCTGTTGCGGTAGGGCCTGTTGCGCTCCGGCCAGAGTTGCTCCGGCGCTGTGAACCAGTGGCCTGTGAGTGCTATGACTGAACGGCGCTGTTGTGGTGGGCGCTTTGTGTCAAAAGCCGTGAAGATGCCCGGCAGCGTTACGCTCGGGAAGGTACATTCTTTGTACCTTCCGAAAGTGTACCTCGGGAAGGTACATTCTCGCACTGTGGACTTGGGCTATGCTGACCTCTAGCTATCCACCCGTCTGGATTGGTACCGTAGCGAAGGCGGGAAAAGAGATGGTCACCTAAAACCTAACTTTGCCCTTTGGCTGAAATCCGTGAATCCACATAGACACATTCGTTTGACCCACGCCTCTTACATTTCAGGACTAGTGAGAGCCGCATGAAGATCGCCATGCGCAACAGCAAAACAACGGGCATGTGCTTCAGGCTGATCATCGTTTACCTCGTGTGTGTCGGCACAGTGTGCGTGTGGAACGTGGCCGTTCCAGAAGAAGAACTCGGCAAACCATGCAATCAAATTATAGGGATCTACATTTACTGTTTCTACTGGATCCAGTATGCCGCCAACAACTTTATTTACGCCCAATCTATGCCTCGGTACAGCAAAGCTGCTAAACAATTATTGCACGCGTTGACACCTTGCTATTTTCGGCCACATGAGCATAACATCAATCTAAACAAGGCAGATAAGAGAGAACTTGTGGTGAGTGTTATTTCCGTGGAGCGGTGCGATGAAAAGAGATCCGTCATCGAAATATCGTTGCCTGCACAGAGTTGTGACGCAGTGACAAGCGATAGCGAGTTTTCATCTAATTTCTTCATTTCACACTTATTCCATACTCACACTCGGCACGATATATGCGTCAACGAGTCACGCGTTTTCACCGGAATCCCTGACAACGAAGCGACTCAGCATAGTTATGTTTTGTCCTGCCAACTACGCCCGAAACGGTCTGTCTACTCTGAATGGTCGTTTACGAGTGATCGTTCGGTGCGCGGTCCTGGAAATGACTACCTATTCCTCACCTCCCCTAGCCGTAAAAGAAGTTTTTCTGATTGTGAGCAGCGCGATCATTCCTCTAAAAAGGTCCAGCGGACACTTTCTTGCTAAATGCCACGGTAAAATCTGTCGCGTATCGTGTACGCGTAGATCATGGCGCTAACAACATCTTATGCTTCTATCGTGTCATAAATAAACGTCTCGGCTTTAACTTATTTATAATTGTAAGCAGTCACTATGTTTTTATAACTCAAAAATTTAATTTTGTAATAAATTTTGGCCTTCATCTACGCAGCTCATGCACTTTTATTTTGGAAATTATATTAAGATTTATAATTACTATGATCGAGACTCGTATGCCATTTTAATTAGGTAAATTTTTTCATGGTTGAACTAATACAAGTTTTTCCCACGTGCAGCTGCGCCTTGCGGATGTCATTTGTTATTCCAACTGTGAAGACATCTTGGTCGTTGTGACGTCACCTCGTGACGTCAAACTGATTTGTAACACCGGTTTTGCTTAAACAAGTCTAGTTGCATGCAGTAAATAATGTTTTGGGCCATTTCGATGAGGTCCATTTTTTAATGTTTTCAAAGATGACTTGAAAACAATGTGTTGATCTACACTATTCACATTTTGTGCCCACAGTGACGTCACTCCAGAGATGCGCAGAACGGCGAAAAATCGTCATCGTCGTGGGTCAAACTTATATAGTTCAATGAATCTCTAGCCTGTCTCGCGTGATGCTGCCAAGTGACGAATTTACTGAACGCGTAAATGACTTACTGTTACCTACGATAAAGAGTAAATAGTATTGGGATAATTTGATCTTTGAGCTATTAATGGGCTATTAATTGTTTGGAATAAGAGTATAGAAGCAGGCGAAAGTTCATCAGGAGAGATAAGTAAGGAAGAGGTTTGTTGATTAGGGGATTGGGCGAATTGGTTTCTTAAATTCATATTTACACGTTTTAATTGCAAAACAAATAACAATAAAATGGATTTCGTTCACCAGCGTGCATTACGACAATCCATTAGTCAAATCCTTCTAGAGGGAGTTAATGTAAAATACCAAAAGTCTAAATTGATGATCATTCAGACGGATCATAAAATACTGGTGGCAACTATAACTACTTGGCAAGGATAATCAGCCTGCAGCAACTCATGTTGGTGGTTGGAAGATTGGTTCAGTAGACTCGGTCCAACCGGTCGCCTATTGTAATTATAGCCGTAAGTTTGTCCGAGACGTGCAAATGAAATCTAACTTGATGGCCGGTTCATACGCTAGCCACATGATGCACAAGCTACTTATTATTCACTCAACCTTTCACTTTTGTCTGCACCGCTTCCGTTTGAAAGCAAACGTTGCAATTTTAGAGCATCTAAAATAACAAAATGCTGCAGAGATATCAATATATTTTATTCAGTTTTGCACGATATTATCACGGAGGTATACATCTGATCTATTTTTGCATGACATCTAGCTAGAAATGAAAATTGGAACATGCACTGTACTTTTAACAAATATCCGAGTGATGGCCTCGGCCTCATTGGCCTGTGCAGAATAAAGGGTGCGTCATAAAAACTCACTTATATATAAAGGTAGACAGTAAACATATGGTTGAACTATATGTATTAGTTCAACCACGGGTAGGAGTGTCTTAAATATAGATTATAAGATTTGTAGCAGACAAACAAACAAACAAGAACTGAATTTAAGGTGAAGTGTTGTAAAATGACAAAGGATTATTCTATCTGAAAGCTAACCCCCTGCAGATGCTGTGAGCTAAAAGTGACCGTCTGGTGGTACACGACAGTATTGGGTACGCAGCCGTGCATCATGCACTGCCTTAGCGACAATTCCGACAAACTATAAACCTCCACTAACTGTAGAAACGGACTAATGCCGAAGCTTTCGGTTGAATGTTTCTGAACGGACTTATACAGCGCCATGCATGTGCCTGCCCTCGTCACTTCTCTCTGAAGCAGAGAAGGTAGGAAGTCTTTGTGAAGCAACCGGCCTCACTGGGATTTCATTAACACCAATATGTACAATTTGTCACATCGATAAAAATATTGAAATAAGCAATAATAAAAACGTATAAAAATATCGTGAGCGATTTTCAATCGTTCACAGTGGGAATCGAAGCGGAGATAATGTAGTTCAATGGTATCTCTATTTTTGTAACCACTAATACGACTGAAATGTTGCAGATAACATGCACTGTTCTTGGTAACCGAATATCTCCTGTTTTTCAGTAGCTACGCAATGCAGACATAGAATTAAATGAAACGGGACATGATATTCCTCCTTGTTCATTTTGCTATTTTACTCGATAGAATTATCTGCCGAAATGATTAAGCGACATACAGGAATTAGTGAATAAAATGTTTTCAACTAATATCATAGTATGTTTGATATACTATTCAATACATTTGATGATCTTAAAATCATATATGGTAATAATTCAGCTAAACAAATTCGACTGCTGGCACGAAGTGAAAGGGGTTTTGGCAGCATAGAATACAGTCAGTAAAGCCTATTCCGTGCTTTTTAGAACATATATATATATATATATATACGCTTTTAAACTTTTATTGTAAGCTGTGAACGGACTCGTGAATGAGTATAAAGGTTGAAATTTCTACTAGAAACTATATATAGAAATTTCTACTAGAAAGAAATCTATTATAATGGACTATAATGAACATTGAAGGCTAAATTAATTTTGACAACAATGCATTATACCAACTACTTATATACTACTGCTGGGAACACTAGCTTCATTCCGGTAAGGTTTAATTGACGTGATGATGAATTGAACTTATTTTATTTTAAATACGGTTTCGGCATTAGAGAAAAATTAAATTACTAATAATGAAAATTATATTACGTGAGAATTTCTGGTATTCAAAAATACTCCAGATAAAACTTTAAAGATGGACCGAGTCACAAACGAGAGGCCTCAGCAGCAGCATTCACTTAATAATAACCAAAGGGACATGTTATCATTGACTGACGGTTTCAATCGTCGTGCATTTTTCCGATCATTCAATTGAAAAATTAGTAAATACTACCATGCATGCACCGCTGTTTTATGAAGATAATAAATAAAGTTACACAGTTCCCTCATTATCGTATTTTCGATGGGTTTCCTGTATAATTATCAAAGCTATTTTAAATTTATTTTTACACTGAACACTTTTTCTCGACGCTCTACCTCTCAATTCCTGTGCTGTACATATTTTTACATCAATGGAAGCCTATTCGATATCATATGCCTCCGCTTAAATTCACAGTGACAAACCTATAAATATTATCTTTAAAATGTGAACACATTTAGAACACACATACAATCGAACCAGAGTGCGCCTATCTCATGACGTCAAAGCCTGATAACAAACATGTATAATTAACCCGCCATCCTCGTCCTTGTCTGACCACTCAATATGCGGCACAGTTTGATGTAGGAAACTCCACTCATCAATTCATAACTATAATTAATCTATAATATTTCTTTGAAACCGTGCATGTGCTGCAATTCATTGCACTGGGTATCTTAGATACCACCTCGTTGGAACTGTTCCTCTTCCGGACAGACATCAGCAACTCAAGTAGAGCGCCCACGCCTGAATGATCGATCCGTGTGCAAACACCTTAGTACAATTTCTGCTCGGTTTGAGTAAATTTTTTTTTATGCCTGAAAACGTCTATGTAATTTCGCAGAATTATTCGGAATTAGTTTCACAACTACAAATTAGTTCTTACACTCTTATTCACGGATGTGATTTTGAGCTAAAAATTTGAATTCGCTTTCCAAACTTAGAATTTTTACTTACTTTACTAGAATTTACTTAGATATATTTTTCGTTCGAAGTTTAGAGGCTCAAGGGACGTCGTGCTAGGAAGTTCGCATTGTAGTATTTTTCATTCAGTTCGCTCCCATGCAGGTCCGGTGGGTCGAAGAGATAACACACTGAGCTCGACGAGCAGTATATGTGTCTCGTGGCTGCAATCATCTATTCATAATATTGCTGTTTTTCCATGATAGCAATTATTAATTAATTTATCTATCAATAGAGCATAGTTATTCCCGTTTGTTATACATCATTCCTGCCGAATGATGTCTTGAATATCTGTTGCACGTTGAGTGTTCCTGAAAATGAGGAGAAATCGTTCAAACAAGTATACTTCGATTCAAAGTTCACAAGTTAGATCAAGTTTCATCGAACACTGCAGGGTCCGGGAGCACGGTAGCAAACGTGACCTCACCTTCATAAAGCCCCTGTTAGACCCTCATTTTAGATGTTGCGAGAGTTCCTTCAGAGAGCAAGCAGTTCGAGAAATCGCAGTAAAACGGTCTTACCGGCATTTCAGTGGCCGGCCAGCCTGAAAAACACTGTGCGCCACTTTATTTTTTTTTTAATTTAACTCGAAAAACCTCTACCACATTGAAAAAAAGCAAAATGGTTTCTTTTCACGGGACTGCCGTCCACTAGAACGCGGACAGACAGCTTTTTCACCGTTTTTCGACCGGTTTTAACTTTCACGGCGACACCGAGTTGATTCCGTGAAACCGAGAATTGCTGTTATCGCTCGTATAATGGAGCACGATGACCTGCGACGTATCTTCACTCGTTGTAAAATTTCACTTTCATACCCGATGGCATTTACGAATGCGCCTGCTCAACAAGTAATTAATTACTGCTTGAAGGTTCTCTGACCACTGCTCAAGAGTCAAGCAAATTAACAAATTAGGCAAATTGATGCAGCCTGCAAAACAGCGAATCAGAGTTCATCTCAGCATATCAGCTGGAAACTGAGAATAAAAACATCATATTATGGTTTATTAAATTGTGCAGTTGCAAAAATCAACGTTATAGGCGAGAACTGAATTATTAGAGGACGCTTCCTATTTTCAGTTTCTCCACTAATTTCTTTACCAACTCCACAAGTTTTCAGTGATTTCGACGCCCATAAAATAAATAGCTCAAAAAGGACAGCTAAATAATCAAAGCTCAGTGCTTATAATATATAGTGGTAAATAAACCTAATCAAGAATTATGAAGCGGAAAAGCTTATGTGAATTTTTATGTAAATATAGTATTAGTACCATTTTCGCTATAAAATCCACCTTTACAACGACTGGGAGTATTCTTTCTAAGAAGGTTTAATTGAAGTATTGAGTAGTGAAATATTTTTATTAAAAAAGAGAAACAACTACAGAGTTTTGAGCTTATGGAATTTGATGAGGTGACAAGTGCTCTAATGCTCAAAATTGAAACTTCATATTTCTGAGATAGAATTATCGTAGAGATTTACGGCGTCTGTCATTAACAAAATCTATTTGAAATGTTAGTCTTGATCAGGTGCCCTTTTCGAGACCCCACACAAGTTTGTGCATGCATTTTTGAACAACGAATCTGCTCTACTAATATCGCCTCTCATCTTACGTGGTTATCATGAATGTTCAAAAAAATTTATTATAAGTGACGAATTTTGATATTTTTGACGTTGGAAGCCCGGTTGCGATACTTGTTTTAAAAATTTTTTCTTCATTTCGAAAAATTTTGTCAACGATATGCCACAGTTGCCATATGCCACCTACCTACATAAATTTAAAGAGCAAATTTTAATTTGTCGAAGATAAGCTTTTAAACATTTAAGAAATAAATAAAGGAAAAACAAAACCAGAACATCAATAAAAAAATTTTATTGATTACTTTTAGATGGGTCTTTAGAGAATATTATTCAACTTTGATGACCTTATATTCTAAAAACGGTATTTATCCGGACATAGAAGTGTTAAAAAAAGTATGAAAAAGGCTGAGTGGAATTTTTTTATAAACTCGTCCATGTGTTCGTTTTACATGTAGGAGTAATCTCGAATATCATGGCTGTCACATTAAGCCTCAAGAGAACGAAACATTATATCTAATTTTAAAACACATTGGCCAATTATCGATGAGTTTTAAACGACACTTCAATCTTATTTAACTTATTTAATCTCCACTTTAGATAAGTCATTTGACAACTGATATGAATCAGTTGATGGCTTGACGAATGTTGTTGAGTCCGATGGTTATCTCTAGTGCAGTCGAACGAAATCTGTGTTCTAAGAGGGCTCTCATTCAGCACGTGCAGCGAGAAGGTGGAATCATTACAGTAAATAATACAATTGCTACACCATTAATCATATGCTATACTCTATAAATGAAACCCTTTAGATAAATAAAAGGTAGTTCTGTCCGAGAATCGTCCATTTGAAATGGAGTATTCAATTTGCCCTAATAAAATATTGTCCATTAATTGCCAGTTTCAGCACTCGTCGAGCGCACTCCGAAACAGAATTTCCCAAGCTGGCTTCCAAAATCTGTAGCTCGTATATTTCCTATTGCATACGCCATGCAGTGGTTTGTGTATGTGTTTTTAGCTTTGTTATGGACTTTTCCAAAAGCACATCAGGTATCTTCTTCAAACCAATCTGCTGTTCTCATTATCAGTGATATTTTTATTCATCCACAAAGTACCGACATTTTGAACGATCATATTAGAATCGACGAAAATGCCCAAATTCACAATAATCATTCAATATTAACATCAAAATTAACTCAGTACCGATACCTAACTCATCAATTTGGTACCGATAATGCCGGACTACAAAGATTTGAAACCAAAGAACCAAATGCGACTTCCAAAAGTGGCGTGACGTCCACGTATGGTCCCTACGATCAAGATTGTGATGGAATGAACCAGACGTTGAACATGAACTGTACTTCACATAACAGCTCCATCGAAGAGGACGTGAAGTGTTCCGGAGATGGTTTACTGCGAACCACTCTTCTGTTTGGAATGTGTATGACTATGATAGTCATCGCCGTTGGCGGGATTGGCAATGGAATCACAATTCTCATACTTATTCATCAAATGAGTCTGGGATTGCGTCAGCAACAAATTCGAACGACAGCATCGTCGGTTCTTGTGTTGAATCTTGCCATTGCTGACTTGTTCTACAGCGTCTTGTGTCTGCCTTTTATTTTCACAATATACCTCATCATATTCCGATCAGATCTGGTAAGTTAAAGTGTTTTCCGATGCGATGTCATGACAAACTTTGACATTTCGTCATTAAAATTCGTTTTCTAAGTTTGTTGGGCTTCATAGATTTCAATTAAAAATATTCTGATAAAATGAAATAATTTTCAACAATTTGAAGGTCTGCAGCCCCGGGCTTGTAGAAAGTATTTGTAACGAAGTTGTACTCTGAATTTGTTTCTTCAATTTTAACTGAAGAAACGAAACAAATAAATCTTGCTAAAAACTATGTAGTGTCAAACATCCACAGGATCTCGAAGCTCCTCTAGCACATGGATTTGAGAACAAGTGTCAATTTTCAGCTTTCTTCCGCTACACAACCTGCATTTCCGAGTGGACCACCATCGGGCTAATGGCTCTCGAAAGTTGAGTATCTTTAGTTCAGGAAAATCGATCATCAGTGTTGAAAATTGTGCCTCTTCGTATATATAATGAGAGTATATTATATTATCAGTGCATTTCAATAACGTCTGTTGCGTGTATATAATGTACAATATAACATATGTATAATATAACGATAATAAGATAAATTATAAAAAATACTAATATTTTAAATATCTAATAGTATCACAAAAATATTATATATGTTTAACATAATAATTTGTTTTATATGACGATTCTTTCAAGTTTCACCAACTCTTAGCAACGTAAATTGCAACGCTCCGTGCTCTGAACTCGAGCTTCGTTGAGTCAGATTATCAACACTCAATTGCCGTTTAACGGAACATGCAATTGAAATTAATAAAACCTCGATATGTGGTTAGAATTTGAACGAGTTAAAATTACTTGCAAGCCTTATTTTGTTTAAAAAATATCCAAGTTTGTATTTTCAGAGTCGAGAAACTACAGCAAGGCTCTGTAGCGTGAGGTAACTTCATTTCTAGCTTCAAAAACTTTGAGAACAACCTTACATTATTATGAAATTTTCCCAAAAGAAAGTAACCGTTTTCTTCCCTTTAGGTTCATCACGATCAGTCGATATGCTCGCTGGCAGAAAGGCGGCTACCGCTGGTTCACTCCCAAAAAGTCTGCGTGTTACTGCCTCTTGATATGGATTCTGAGCATTTGCATGCAGATGCCCACGCTCCTCGAGGTGAAATTAGTATAGCCCACTTCGATATAGCTTCTGCAGTGAAATAATTAATATAAGCAGTTTCAACAGCACCAACTACGTAACTTTCTAAACTAGCGGTTGAACACATTTAGTAAAAAGTTTCCCTTTCAGCTTTCTCATTGACGATCGTGGATGAGCAATCGCTACAACAGTCAACAATATGAATATTGGAATGAAACAATTATAAATTTTCGACCAGAACTTTACCTGCTATTCATTAATTAGATATAATTGGTCGCCTGCCGAAGACCACCACTGCCCTGGATGTAATGGACCATCATGATTCCTGCCTTCCGGAACGTAGCCTTCAACACTTCAAGCCGTCCGTATCTAGGCCGTGGGTCGAACCAGCCCTCGGTCGAACGGCCACTTGTCGAAGGACGATAAATTTTAGAACAGAACTATACTATCTGAAACCTAACCTCAGATGCGGTGAACGTAAAATTACGTAATTTAACGATGCCCGGAAGTCAGATTCGATCCGCGGCCTGGTGGTGCACGGCAGGTTCTATGCGAGGCCGGAGGAAGACAAAGCCGAGTGGTTCACGGCTGATGGTGGATGTCCGGAGAGGTCCAAGGCGTTCGATTCAGGGCTTATTGGTGCACAAAATTGGTGGTGCACGGCTGCGCTCTCGATATAATTATTCTACACAGATGAAGTAGAAGTAATTCCTTTTAACTCCGACGTCTTCCGGACCATACTTTATGAGAGTAGGATGAACACGCTGTGGCACCTAACCTTACGGATAGGCAGGCGCCTTCTTAACTGCAGTGCCAGGTTTTCCATAAATATTTTGTGTTGCCGCAAGTTTCTCTTGATTTGAGTTAAAAACTTATACGGAACTTAACACAGCTCAAACATTTCTGAAATTCTCATATAAGGGCAGGTAAAGAATATATTCGTCACTGAGACATTGTCGAACTTCGCTAAAAAAATGAAAATTGTCAATTTTCATGACCTCGTACATTATTCGAAAATATCTTCCTTCTCCTTATTTTTAGTCCTAGATTCATTAATTCGAGAGTAATCGTGTAATTTTTACATAAGGTGCATTTTGAGATGGTCTGATAGCACTCGTACTTATTCTTGTAATTCGATTTACTTTGGAGTAACATAACTAAACCATTTGACAGGTTGGTGCGTTTTTTGGCAAGTTTGGCTACAACGTAGACACAATTAAGTGCGACTTCGTCAGCTCCGAAGGTCAAAGTTTCGGGATGCGTGATTTCTTCTTTCTGATGGAGGCGCCCATTCCGTGCGCTCTAATCCTAGTGGGCTACATCGCCATCATTGTGCGCATCAAAAGCAGTACTCGGTTCATGAAAAAATTTGGGTGAGGTTTTCTCTTGAAATAATAAATAACAGACATAATAATGGAATGGAATTATGGTAGAGGTAAAATTCAGACTGAAAAAGTGAATGGAAAATCACTTCTATGCCAATTCGATACAAATTAATATGAAAATCAACCCACAATTTGGGCATGCACTTATCAGCTTCTCTGCAATAATAGCTAGCCGTCAGCGGCAGTTTTTTTTGCAAGCGTTTCTTTATATGCAGTTTAGTTATATATTGGTTTTCGTGATCTAAAATTTATCGCTACGTGTACTTGGCAATATTTTTATAATCCGCACCAGCGGATAACTTCAGAGTACATTCTTTGTTCCCTGGTCTGGACGGGAGCGCAGCCGTGGGTAACAAAATTGACTCGTTAACAGGCCCTGGGCGCAACGCCAACCATCAGCATGCAATAGCTACACATAGCCTCAGATCAATGAGCTGTGGGCAACTCCGGCTAACAGTAAATCCGCTTTGCACAACACAGCCANGTCATGAAAAGATCCGGTCAAATGAAACGATATTAGATCTATAAACAAGGCACGAAAAGGAAAGGAATCGGCGACAGGCCACATCAGGCCTACACTTCAGCGCCTAGATCACTATGTTATGTTATGTTATAATGAAACGTCTTGACTTTAACTTACTTGCGATTGTAAGCAGTAACTATGTTTTTATAGATGAAAAATTTAATTTAGTGATCAATTTGGATTCTCATCCACGCAACTCGTCCACTTTTATTTTCGAAATTATACATAGATTTTATGTAATTAATTAAGCATATTGCATTTTAAAATCACGATATAATAAAGTTGAAGACATGAAGTGAATGATGCATTTTTTGCAATAATCTAGTTCTAGTCCATATTTCTCTATGCTTAATATTTTAGATTCTTCCGCAATTATGAATTCATGGTACTAACTGTAATTAGGCAATAATCATACAGTTTTCAAGATATATTCCGTTACTGACTAAAACTTCAAATACTCAGGGATAATATCATCACTACTTGTACGATGAGGTATATAGCGTTGCGTGGTACCGGTGACTACATTACTTACAGTACACCATAAATCCATAAACAACGGACCCAACGCTAAAATCTACAACGTGTCCTAAATTTAGAATATGGTAAAATATATAAAGTTTAAGATATAAAATAAGAATAATATATAATATAAAATATATAAAATATATAAAATAATAATAAGATAATAATAATAATAATAATAATAAAATTGAAGATGAAAACTAACTTCGTTCACCTGCGTGAACTACGATAATCCATTAGTCAAACCCTTCTGAATGGAATGAATGTAAAATACTAAAAGTCTTAAATGATAAACATTCAGATGGATTATAAAATACTGTTAGCAACTTCTTGACAAGGATAATCAGCCTGCAGCAACTCATGTCGGTGGTCATGGAAGATTGGTTCGGCAGAGTCGGCCGAACCGGTTGTCTGTTGTAATCATACCTAGCAAATGAAATGTTACTCAATTGCCGTTTGATACGCTAGCTACAAAACGCACAAGCTACGTATTATTCACTCAAACTTTCATTCACCTGCACTGCTTCCGACTTGAATGAAAACGTTGAAATTTTAGAGCGTCTAAATTATGCAGAGATATTTATACACTTTATTCAGTTTTGTAGGAGCTGGTTTATTTTTTTTTTCACATGGTAACTCGTTAAAAATAAAAATTGGAACATGCACGGTACATGTAACATATTAGAATACCCGAATGATGGCCTGTGCAGAGTACAGGGTGCGACAGAAAAACTCACATATAGGTAAACATTCAACAAACTGCTCAAGAGGCGAAAGCAAGTAGCTCAAATTCGATTCTTCCATTAGGTATAGATCCTTAGATTTTGGTGGCAATCGTTTTGAGCCGAGGTTATGCGGTGTACTCGCGCTCGTCGTTCCGTGGACGTTTTATTGAGGGGTACCTGCCGTGCCTTTGAAATCACTCCTAATAATTTTATGTTCGTGTATATAAATTATTATTATCGTCATTTTTAAATGCATGAAATTCTATAAAATATGGCCTGAATATGTTGTTGATGCATCAGACATTCTTGTGTAACAGGTGTTTGTTGTTGTACTACACGGAAGATGCTGGGGTTTTGCAGTAGGTCCGTTTGGAATTCGCTACTAGGCTCGGCCTAATCTCAAGGTCAATCAAACGATGAATGTTAGTGCTTTTTATTGGAAAATTCGGTAAAATGGGTTACATGGTGTAAATCATCTTGTAGGCGGATATANGCGGCCTTCGCGCCTACATTGGCTACGCTTTCAATTACGAGATTACATCTGTTATACAATAATGTCATGAACTTTGCCAACGTGATAGTCCTGGGGTCGTCACTAGATTTTAAGGACAGGCGGCTCATCCCTCCCTGGATGCACAGGATGTCAGCGAATGTTCAATTACACAAACAATTAGCAATATCATGAGTACTGTTCAAAAAGAACCACAGAAATTACTGTTTGTTTATTGCGTCTTTTTTAAGCCACATTATATTAAATTTATCGGGTGTATAAAATAAATAATAATAAATTATAATAAAAATTTTCTTATAACCGCCAGGCTTCGGACAAATTTACGGCCGGACCGCCTAGGCCACTACGGAGCTATTTTGCAAGATATGTATTGTAAATTTACTTTACAATGAAAATAATAATTTCTTCTCAAACCTTGTATTAACTTGGGTTATTTTGCGACAGGTTCACTTTCTTTTGTCATTTTTTTCAACCAATCCGAGTCGAAATTCAATTCGTCCATTATCTTTTGATATCTTAATATATTCTAATGATTTTCTAATAATTTCACAGTAGCTTATGGCAAACCAATAATGCATATTTTGCTTATTTATATATTTTTCCTGAGATCAATTTCGCCAATCAAGGAAATTCCCGAATTGTTTGGCAACACAACAAAATTCCTTTATGGCAATGTTTTGTTTCCCGCCATGACAGCACGTGCACTTTCTGTGGTAGAAGGCTTGAAGTTATCGAAAATATATTCAACATGAGTGACACCGAGGAGCCGACTATCGCTCAAAATAGCGTTCTAACTAAGTACAAAACTGGAGCTGAAATTGTAAATAGTAAGTATTGGCTAAATGTTGCGCCTGTTGTTAAATTAATAATGTGGATAAATTGCTGATGTGAGTGTGGCTGGTACGCTGCGTACGCATACCGGGTGATTTTGTAGACATGAAAGTATTGCGTTCAGTACTAGTATGCTCACTACGCTGATTGTTAATTTCAAGTCAGTAACTTTACTATGAGGATTTATTATGGATAGCCTATTTGTGAATTACATGAAATTATGAATGAATGGTTAATGTTAACTTTTTTTACAGGAGTACTAGAAAAACTCATTACCAGCTGTGTTGATGGTGCATCTGTACAAGCCATTTGCAGAGAAGGAGAAAAGCTTATTCAGGATGAACTCAAAAAGGTTATTATCAATCTTATTTTAAGCTTTTTGAAATTGTTACCAACCATATTCAACATCTACTAGCCTATTTGTTTTTATATATTATAATTCATATCAACTTTGGATTCAACTTATTTTAAATTTTTCTGGAATCCTGTTATTAATGGAAGGGTGGCTTGCAAGCAAGGCAATCAATGTGGAATTTGAGTGAGGTAATATGTGAAAACTTGCCCTGGCTACATTGCCACCATAACGTTGATAAAAAAAAATCACAAAATGGCTCAAAGTAGAATTCTCTTCTATACCTACCTTTACAAAGTTGACAGACTATTGGACTGGGCACTTGAGTAAACTGGACTTAGGCATGACTTTTTCATTAAGAGCAGCCCCGTAGCTTAGTTTCACCAGGCTCCGGCCACCCTTCCAGAATGTCAACTTGTCAAGTGCTGTTGCTGTCTTTTTTTTTAATGTACTAACCTCTTTCTGAAGATCATTTGATGTCCATCTGTATCATGTATGCAGATATTTTTGTAATGCTGGTGTGATTTTCTTCAATAAAGCATAGGTAAGCTTACTTTCTGCATGATTTTTCTTTTCAGTTGGCACTGCTCAAAAAAAAAACTATTTTGCTTTTTTGCAAATCAAAATAAAGATAATTACTGCACCTGTGCACTGCCACCATGTTCTCAAATTTAGTTATTTTGGTGGCTGAAAGTTTTATTAGCTAGCTTGCCTTCAAATTGGCTCCTATTCTAAAGTTTAAATAATTTTTTATACTATGATAAGGTGTATATATATTATCTTGAGTAGGTAGTTATCAGTTGTTGTGTGAAGAAATTAGCCAAGTTTATTTTCAGAAAGAAAATTGTAGACTTTCAGTGATTCATGAATGCTTAATTCAAAGTGAACAGTTAGACCAAACCTTCAATCTTGGTGTTAATGGTATTTGATTTTATTGAACACTACTTTCTGAGTACTTTGTATGTTTTGTATCAAGCTGCCACATTAATTGAGACTCTTTAAATTATGAACAATTAATTCATAGTTTTCTGTAATGCTAGAAATGCTTCTTCAGAACTATATATATATGCCCTGAATTGGATTTTCAATCTGAAGATGCTAATGTCAATTTTGTTAGGATCCATTGAAGCTATAGGTAGTGCATGGTATATCAGTAAGAGATTCTGATTTTTCTCTACTATTTTCTCACACTCGGCACTAGTCACTGTACAAATAGCAATAGTCACTTGATTGCTGCAGGAAATATTTCAAGGTAGAAGTTGATGCAAATGGGGAAGTTGATCATAATAATTGATTAGATATTTTAAAACTAAAAAAAATCATGTTGATCAACATTAATATGCTAACTACTGATCTACAATAGGATTGCTGAAAATCTAATGTTTGTATCATGTTGCCAGGTTTACAGGAAAGATAAGGACCTAAGTAAAGGTATAGCTTTCCCAGTATGCGTCTCCATCAACAACTGCATCAATCACTTCTCACCTCCCAAGTCTGAGGACGATGTTGCCATCAAGGATGGGGATTTGGTCAAGCTGGACCTTGGAGCCCACATTGATGGTTTCATCTCGGTTGTGGCGCACAGTCTTGTTGTGGGGGCAAACAAGGATAATAAAGTAAGTTCTAATCTCTTTTCTTGTGTTTTTGCTTAGAAAACTTATTATTGTTTCAAATTTGAGTGTGATACTGCAATCCACAAAATTATACATCACAGATTTCCTTAGCTTTTATTCCTGCTTCTCATTTTGTTATTGCAAGTATCTTGCAGGTAGCTTAAACCCAAATAATATTCATTTAAAAATTACTTTTTAAAGACAACGCTTCTAAAGAGGCGAGTGTCACTGATGTTACACATGTAGAATGAATTTCTAACTTTATGTTTAAATATTGAAAAATTATGATTTTTTTGTATTTCTAGAATTTTTTTACAACACTTCTCTTTAACTTCACTTCTTGTTTGTTTGTCTGTCTGTCTGCGACAAATCTTGTATGTAATCGATATTTAACACACTTCTACCTGTCCAATCGATCTGAAATTTGACACACTTTCATAAAGTTGGAGACAATGCATGAATCAATTGACAGAATAAATAATTTTATAAATAAAAAAAAATTCAAAATTGAAAAAATTATTTTGTCTGCTACAAATCTTATAATCCATATATGACACGATTTGACCTGTCGAGTTGATCTGAAATTTTGCACAATTGCATAAAGTCAGAGACAATGCATGAATCAATTGACAGAATGAATAATTTTGAAAATTTACAAAATTTTGATATCTTAAAAAAATTTGAAGAATAATTTTTTTTTCAATATATGAAAATGAAATTAGAAATTCATTGTACATGTGTAACATCCAAGATACTGGATTGTTCAGAAGTGTTGTCTTTAAAAAAACAATTTTTAAACGCATATTATTACAATTTAAAATAATTTATTCCGTCAATTGATTCATGCAATGTCTCCGACTTTACGCAAGTGTGCAAAATTTCTGGTCAATTGGACAGGTAGAAGTGTGTTAAATATCGATTATAAGATTTGTAGCAGACAAACAACAAGAAGCAATGTTAAAGAGAAGTTTTGTAAAGAAAGTGGTTTCAAAATTACCAAGAAATTAAATAGGATGAAGTTGATTACTTTTTTAGAGTTTTATACTTAATTTATTTAATGATCACCTATTTAAGTACAGATTACAGCCGTTGAGTAGGTGTTACCAATTTTTTCTGCCAACAGATAACTGGCCGGAAGGCTGAAGTGATGCTTGCAGCTCACTATGCAGCAGAGGCAGCACTTAAACTAATGAAGCCTGGCACAGAGAACTCGGCCATCACCAGCGCTGTTACAAAAATCGCTGATGTGTACAAATGCAATCCTATTGAAGGAATGCTATCCTTCCAGTTGCAACAGGTAACTTTACAGATCTGCTATAGATTTTGATCTGTTTATTTTTTGTCCCTGGATGCTCAAAGAAATTTGTGGCTTCATTAGAAATTCATTTAATGGTGATGTATATTAGCTTTTTTCATTTTTGAGGGATGTTTATTTGTAGTGAACGGTTATTAAATATTTACTTCCATAAGTTCCATTGGAAAACATTTATCTAGAATTTTTCATGCTACTCCTTTCTAGAACCGCATAGATGGAGACAAGATGATTCAGCAGTTACCTGTTGGCAGTGTACGCAAAGATGTGGAGCGAGCGACCATCGAACTGAATGAGGTCTATGCTATTGATGTCGTAATCTCTACAGGCAAGGGACAGGTATGTTTCACTGCGTTTTTTTTTTTTTGTGTGTTCGTAAATGTTATTATTGTTGTTCTTCATGATCAGCACAATTGTCTCAATTACATTTCTTTCTTATTTTTTAATTCGCTCCAAAATTTACATCCTTGGGAAAGTATAGTATAGGAAACCATTGCTGATTTCTAGTCTCATAGGGAAAGAAGAAAATTTGAGCATGCTTATTTTTCTCTTGTTTCAAAGTTTTTTCTGCCGTTAAATTCTCACTTCTGAATAATCCTACAGTTGGATACTGACAAGTCTCCCATTCCAACAAGCTTAGGGAATAATATTCATCTCAGTCGTCTGATATATCTATGAATTTCTACTTATTTTGTGAATTTCGTGTCCTAAATGCACCTGTTAAGTTGTTAACTGCAATGATGAGAGCGCAAGCTATCTCATCCTGATGCCCCATGATGAGCCACAAGCGCCAGGGGCCAGCTGATGTCTCCTTTTTCCATCAATGATTCATGGTTGTTGATTCATGCTTCATGATCCCTTCTTTTGCAGGGAAAGGAAATGGACACCAGAGTTTCTATTTACAAGAAAACTGATGAAGTATACAGCCTCAAACTTAAGTGTTCTCGAGAATTCTTCAGAAAGGTGCGTGATAAGCCTGTTTGTATTGTGATCAAATTACCTTAAGAAAATCCGTCTTCAGATCTATACTCAAGAAAATCGTTTATTGAGGTGCTTACAGTCGTGTCACACGCTCCGACGCTTAAAGTTTGCTAATGCTTTCAGTGAATACTTCTAAACTTCAATCTTCTCAAATTTATCGGTACAGGCAGTTACCTAGTTTCGTAAGATTTAAATTGAAATGCAGGCACTAATAACTTCATGAAACTTGTATTCTTAGTAGTTTCTTCCATCACCACTGCTAATCCCATCCCCCACTGCTAAAGTTATTGTTGAATTTTCCAACAGTCAACATTAAAATTCTTTTTATAGTGAAAATGCTTGTGTTTTTTAGGTGAGCAAAGAGCTCGGTCATATGCCCTTCAATCTGCGCGTATTTGATGACGAGAAGAAAGCCCGCATGGGCGTAATGGAGTGCGTGACCCATAAGCTGGTGACACCGTATCCCGTGCTGTGGGAGAAGCCAGGCGAGCTCGTAGCCCAGTTCAAATACACCGTCCTCATCACCGCTGATGGACCTCAGCGGATAACTGGCCTGCCTCTCGATGTCTCGCTCTGTCAAACTGATATCAAGCTCGAGGACCACCTTGCTGCTCTCGTAAGTTCTCGTGCTCAGCCTCATCGTTTTTCCAACATCTGTGCTAATTTCTTATTTTTAATTAATTGACAATACCACAAGAATTCGCCATTTCTTTATAAGAGAAAACGTTTCGGAGTCCAGCTCCATCGTCAGTTCATAACACAATGTTGAGTTAAAAAGAAGTTCAGTCCAGTATAAAACGTGATAGAGGGAACAGTGAAAATTTTCACTGTTTTCTCTTATAAAGAAGTGGTTAATTTTTGTGTTATTTCCTTTGCTTTTAAATTTCTGGTTAACTTGCGATTTAAGCAAACGACTGATTTTAATTCCTTATTTTGTTTTCATTAAATATTATATTTCCGTCCATGCAAAGATAACATAAGAAAAAAAAATGTCAGCGTTCGAATGTCGCTGCTTTTGCTGAAGTGTTGTCTTGGCGTTTATTGTTTTGTTACTTTTACCACAAATTTTTTGTCCCGTGCAGAGTTTGGTGACTGGTGAAGAGAAGAAGGCCGAAGAAGTTCCCGCTGCTGCCGCACCAGCGCCTGCGCAGACGTGATGACTTGGGCTGCGTTCTCGATTGCCAGTTCACCGCGTCCTGAAAAGCATTTCTCTACACTTGTCCACGTAGTGCAAAACTCTTGACGATCCAGCTATTTTCTTATTTAACCGAGTAATCTCAAACCTGGAATTAGCTTGCTGACTGACTCAATTAATTTGAATATTTCCAAGCTAATCTTGCGTCCCGAATTTTTTGGGATCTTTATTCGAGCAGCTCGTGTTTTATAAATCACGATCATCAACATCGCGGGCAAACCTGTTTTAGCTTGATATCACTCGTGCTCTTAGCTGGCAAATACTTAGTTAATCCTTGACATCTTGATGAGCTGAATTTTCAAGACGAGTTTCGGTCAGCTTGCTATAGCGCCTGTCATTCCGTACAAGAAACTTCGTTGGTGTGATTGGTGAATTCTGCTCTTTTTATTGCACGTGAAAAAAGACGTTTTCAGTATAAATCACTATTAGCTAGCAATTTTGTCTCTAATTTGTCAGGCATTGCAGTGATTCGTGTTTTTCATTTTGAATAGTTTCTGTGACCAGTGTAGATTTCGAACTATGGCGTTCCTGAAAGTCCGTATGTGCGTTAGTGATGGACATTTCGCTGTCAGTTACAACGCAGGCTATGTTCTCAAACGACTTTAGTCCGTCGGGAAACGTCATATCACCATTGGTCTTTGTGGGAAAAAAATTGAATAAGGTACTTTAGGCTTCTGTGCCTCGACAACTCTAATTATAGTGACAGTATTGGTGAAATAGCTCAGTAACTTGCTATCGGCTTATCATATTTAGGAAGCGCCAAGTTCTTGCATTTTAACTCAAGATCAGGTGGGTGCAACTATGATGAAGGTGCCCTATTAATGGTAAAATTGTGTTGCTTTATTTTAATGCGACTGGTGTTACTAATGCTAACTTTTCCTATCACTGTTCACGAATGTATACACATTTCAGATTTTAATTGAAATACATATTTTTGAGCATTCTAGTGCTATTGACTCAACTTTTTATTTGTTGTGAAACGAGTGATGGGCTTGTTTGTTCCAGTTAATGTCCACTAGTAAACTTTTATTCTAAATTGTGTTTTTACCCGACCTTTATTTACGCTAGCTAATCGTAATTTCATGCACGTACGCTAGTATGATATTGAGGTCTCGACTACATAACTAGATACATCAGTTCAGTATAGGTCTCTGTAGTCTGATAATCGTGAAAGAGATCACGCTGAAGGAATACATTAGTGCAGTTCCTGAAGCCGCGTTCACGTTAGATGTCCAGAGATATCCATAATTATACTGTCGCAATGACGCGCTGTAGATGATTTACCATCATATTTGTTTGCCTGAAGAGCTCGGACAGCAACACAATACGCTTGCCTGAGCACCTTAGATTATTGCTCACTGCGGTTATTACAATGTAGAGAAACACCAGAAATGATTTGTGTTTGTTTCGCTTGTTGCTCATTGGAGTGTGTCAACAATAAGCAATTTTCGATCTTTAATTAGCTAGTTCCAACTCGTTAAACAGTTGATAAGGAAAGGCGGTGAAACGGGCGTGGGAGACTAGTCATCGGTGGCGCGATAGGAAACGATAAGGCACGTCAGGGAATCGCTGCACAAGTTTCTCAACTGGGCTACATCGGTGGTCATTCGTGCGACTGGGTTTGCGATACACGAGATCATGGTAATTAAACTAAGACGTTGCTCAATTCTAAATATGTATCGTAGTTCTTTAGGTAGTCGAAAAATGAAATTTACCAATTTCGTCGTGAAACTACTTAGAATAGAAGTGTCGGCGTTGAAGAAATAGGCCCATGGCCTGTTGCCGATTCTTGAACTTTTCGTGACTTGATTCACAAGGGATCCGTCCTGTGGAACCCGATCTTTCTATAGCTGACGATTGATTGAGATAGCTGCTGGACTTATTGCCTGATCCGTGTAGCTATTGAATACGATCTTTCAATTCTCACTGCAGATGCGGCATTTTTCCGGATTGTGTCTCTTCTTTACCATTCTCGTCTTGCGAGAAGTGTCTACTCAAGGTCAGTAGATTTCGCTTTCAGTAACTAGGTGCAAATTACGTATCCGTGCTGCTCTAGAAAATTACAATGAAAAAGTCAAAGAAAAAAAATCACGAAACGAATAAAATGAGAACTTATAGCCTCTTTCAAAGAAGTCTATGGATTGATTCGCATACAGAAGTAAAAAAAAAAAGTCAGACAATTTCGAAAACAGATAATAGACTTCTTTCTACGTGTGGTATGGAGTCAACTCAATATCTACATTCAAGAACAATGTACTTTCTTAGAATTGAACATTTTGGCTATAATGATCGTAATTTATAATTTGAACAAGGCAAGCATTTTAATGAGATTTTGATGTATTTACCGATAAAAACATGATTAATCATTCTAGCGGCGTTACTAATTTATCTTTATAGAATAAAATCTGCTAAAATTGCCTCGAGCCTAATTTTTCCCTAATTAAAAAGTTTAACGATAAATTAAAACGCACGGAATAATGTTCGAAAATCAGTTTTAAATGCTCATTTGCGTAATTTTTGGTGCAATTTTTATCATTTGTAGATTTATTCCTAATTGCAAAGTAATCATCTGCAGATGAGAGAACAAAGATTGTTGGCGGGACAGAGGCAGCTCCTGGCGAGTTTCCTTTCGTGGTGAGTAGTTGAAGTGACGCTT